GAGTCGACTCTTCACATTAGGTGGCCAAAGTATTGGAGCTTCAGCTTCAGCATCAGTCCTTCCAATGAATATTCAGGACTGATTTCCTTTAGGATTGACTAATTCGATATACCTGCTCTCCACGAGACTCTCAGGAGTCTTCTCCAGGATATGGCCCCCTACCCAGGACATGCTAGCATCAGGACATTCCAATAACTTCAATGAGTAAAAACCAACCCCAAAGGCCTTATCCTGGGGTAACTGCTTCCTTTTCAAACCTACGTTCTTGCATTCTTCTGTTCATGTTGGGGATGGGGAGGGGACTGCTCCATGGCTCTATGTGGCCACAAGCTCTTGTCATGGCTCCCAGGCAGGTCCCTCCTCACTTAGAGAGCTATCTCACTGACCACAGTCTGGTCAGGGGAGAGGGCATGTCTGGCTGAGTTCTCTGTATATTTTAGAACTACGAGGTCTTCTGTGAACCCCAGAGCTGTCCCATGCCCTTCTGCTGCTCAAAGCTACAAGTGTCCCCAGGCATGACTTTTTTCTGAGGTTCCTTGGGGAAAACCAAGCCACCTTCCTCCCCAAGCATCCAGTCCCAAGCCTGAGCTGTTTTCTGGGCTTCTCACCTCAGTGTGGAATTCATATCGGGATAATGCTCTCAACTTTATGTCTTCCAGAATTACAGCACTCTTCCCTAATTTTAGTACTCAGTTCAATTCATTTGCTCAATCGTGTCTGACTCTTTGCAACCCCATGGACTGCAGCACGCCAGGCTTCCCTGTCCATCACCAACTCCCGGAGTTTGCTCAAACTCATAGCCATCAAGTTGGTGATACCACCCAACCATCTCTTCCTATGTCATCCCCTTCTCCTCCTGCCTTCAATCTTTCCCAGCATCAGGGTCTTTTCCAGTGAATCAGTTCTTTGCATCAGGTGGCCAAAGTATTGGAGTTTTTCTAGCTTCAGCATCAGTCTTTCCAATGAATATTCAGGACTGATTTTCTTTAGGATTGACTGGACTGATCTCCATGTAGTCCAAGGGACTCTCAAGAATCTTCTCCAACCCCACAGTTCAAAAACATCAATTCATCTGTGTTTAGCTTTCTTTATGGTCCAACTCTCACATCCCTACAAGACTACTGGAAAAACCATAGCTTTGACTGGATGGACCTTTGTTGGCAAAGTAATGTCTTTGCTTTTTAATATGCTGTCTAGATTGGTCACAGCTTTCCTTCCAAGCAGTAAGCGTCTTTTAATTTCATGGCTGCAGTCACCATCTGCAGTGATTTTGGAGCCCCCCCAAATAAAGTCAGCCACTGTTTCCACTGTTTCCCCATCTATTTGCCATGAAGTGATGGGACCAGATGCCATGATCTTAGTTTTCTGAATGTTGAGTTTTAAGCCAAATTATTCATTCTCTTCTTTCACTTTCATCAAGAGGCTCTTTAGTTCTGCTTTACTTTCTGCATTAAGGGTGGTGTCATCTGCATATCTGAGGTTATCGACATTTCTCCTGGCAATCTTGATTTCAGCTTGTGCTTCATTCAGTCCAACTTTTTTCATGACGTACTCTGCATATAAGTTAAATAAGCAGGGTGACAATATACAGCCTTGACGTACTTCTTTCCCGATTTGGGGAGAGTCTGTTTTTCCATGTCCAGTTCTAACTATTGCTTCCTGACCTGCATACAGATTTCTCAAGAGGCAGATCAAGTGGTCTGGTATTTCCATCTCTTTCAGAATATTCCACAGTTTATTGTGATCTACACAGTCAAAGGCTTTGGCATAGTCAATAAAGTAGAAATAGATGGTTTTCTGGAATTCGCTTGCTTTTTTGATGATCCAGAAGACATTGGGAACTTGATCTCTGGTTCCTCTATCTTTTCTAACAACATGATCTTTTAGAATTTGAAATAGCTCAACTGGAATTCTATCACTTCCAGTAGCTTTGTTCGTAGTGATGCTTCCTAAGGTCCACTTGACTTCATACTCCAGGATGTCTGGTTCTAGGTGACTGATCACACCATCAGTGTTATCTGGGTCAAGAAGATCTTTTTTGTATCTGTGTATTCTTGCCACCTCTTCTTAACATCTTCTGCTTCTGTTAGGTCCATACCATTTCTGTCCTTTATTGTGCCCATCTGTGCATGAAATCTTCCCTTGGTATCTCTCATTTTCTTAAGAGATCTCTAGTCTTTCCCATTCTATTGTTTTCTTCTATTTCCTTGCCTTGATCACTGAGGAAGGCTCTCTTATCTCTCCTTGCTATTTGCTCAAACTCTGCATTCAGATGGGTTTATCTTTCCTTTTCTCCTTTGCCTTTCACTTCTCTTCTTTTCTCAGCTATTTGTAAGGCCTCCTCAGACAACCATTTTGCCTTCTTACATTTCTTTTTCTTGGGGATGATTTTGATCACCACCTCCTGTACAATGTCACAAACCTCCATCCATAGTTCTTCAGGCACTCTATCAGATCTAACCCCTTGAATCTATTTCTCACTTTCACTGTATAATTGTAAGGGATTTGATTTAGGTCATATCTGAACAGTCTAGTGGTTTTCCCTACTTTTTTCAAGTTAAGTCTTAATTTTGCAATAAGGAGTTCATGATCTGAATCATAGTCATCTCCAGGTCTTGATTTTGCTGACTATATAGAGTTTCTACATCTTCAACTACAAAGAATATAATCAATCTGATTTTGGTATTGACCATCTGGTGATGTCCATGTGTAGAGTCACTCCTTTTGTTCAAAAAGGGCATTTTCTATGACCAGCGTGTTCTCATGACGAAACTCTGTTAGCCTTTGCTCTGCTTCATTTTGTACTCCAAGGCCAAACTTGCCTGTTACTCCAGGTATCTCTTGACTTCCTACTTTTGCATTCCAGTTTCTTATGATGAAATGGATATCTTTTTTTTTTTTTTTGGTGGTAGTTCTAGAAGATCTTGTAGGTCTTCATAGAACTGTTCAACTTCAGCTTCTTCAGCATTAGTGGTTGGAGCATAGACTTGGATTACTGTGATATTGAATGGTTTGCCTTGGAAACGAACAGAGATCATTCTTTCGTTTTTGAGACTGCACCCAAGAACTGCATTTTGGACTCTTGTTGACTATGAGGGCTACTCCCTTTCTTCTAAGGGATTCTTGCCCACAGTAGTAGATATAATGGTCATCTGAGTTAAATCCAACCATTCTGGTCCATTTTAGATCGCTGATTCCTAAAATGTTGATGTTCACTCTTGTCATCTCTGTTTGACCACTTCCAATTTTCCTTGATTCCGGGACCACACATTCCAGGTTCCTATGCAATGCTGTTCTTTACAGCATTGGACTTTACTTCCATCACCAGTTACATGTACAACTGGATGTTATTTTCACCTTGGCTCTGCCTCTTCATTCTTTCTGGAGCTATTCTCCACTAGCATATTGGGCACCTACTGACCTGGGAGTTCATCTTTCAGTGTCTCATCTTTTTGCCTTTTCATACTGTTCATGGAGTTCCCAAGGCAAGAAAACTGAAATGGCTTGCCATTCCCTTCTCCAGCAGACCACGTTTTGTCAGAACTCTCCACCATGACCCGTCCGTCTTGGGTGGCCCTACACTGCATGGCTCATAGTTTCATTGAGTTAGACAAGGCTGTGAGCCATGGAATCAGTTTGATTATTTTCTGTGATTGTGATGTTCATTCTGTCTGTCCTCTGGTGGAGAAGGATAAGAGGCTTGTGGAGGCTTCTTGATGGGAGGGACTGGCTGTGGGGAAGTCGGGGTCTTGCTCTGATGGGCAGGACCATGCTCATTAAATCTTTAATCCAATTTTCTATTGATGGGTGGGGCAGTGTTTCCTCCCTGTAGTTTGGCCTGAGGCTAAACTATGGTAGGGTTAATGGTGGTAATGGCGACCTCCTTCAAAAGGACTTATGCCAGCATGTTGTATTCAGTGTTGTATTCAAAAAGTGTTGTATTCAGTGTTGTATTCAAAAGGACTGTTGTATTCAGTGCCCCTGACTCCATGGCAGGCCTCTGTGGACCCATGCTTCTGCTGGAGACTCCTGGACACTCACAGGCAAGTCTAGCTCAGTCTATTGTGGGGTCGCTGCTCCTTTCTCCTGGGTCCTGGTATGCACAAGGTTTTGTTTGTGCCCTCCAAGAGTCTGTTTCCCCAGTCCTGTGGAAGTTCTGTAATGAAATCCCACTGGTCTTCAAAGTCAAATTCTCTGGGAGTTCTCAGTCCCTTTGCTGGATCCCCAGGTGGGAAATCTGTTGTGGGTCCTAGAACTTTCACAACAGTTTGAGAACTTCCTTGGTATATATAGTTGTTCTCCAGTCTGAGGGTTGTCTACTTGGTGGCATTATGGTGGGGCTAATGGCAACCTCCTCCGGGAGGACTTATGCCACACTTTCAGTGCTGCAGAAAGTCTATTCTTACTTCCATATTCATTTTGTCATTTGAATGGGATTTGTGGTAGAGGATGTAAATATGGCAGCCAGCCATTTTGATCCAGCAGTATAGAGTAAAATTCAAGTGGATTTTGAAATCAGGAAAGATGAATAAAGCCCAAAGTGAAAGTGAAAGTCACTCAGTTGTGTCTGACTCTTTGCGACTCCATGGATTATACAGTCCATGAAATTCTCCAGGCCAGAATACTGGAGTGGGTAGCCCTTCCCTTCTCCAGGGGATATTCCCAACCCAGGGATCAAACCCAGGTCTCCCACATTTCAGGCAGATTCTTTACCAGCTGAGCCGCAAGGGAAGCCCAAATATACTGGAGTGGGTAGCCCATTCCTTCTCCAGTGGATTTTCCTGACCCAGGAATTGAAACTGGGTCTCCTGCATTGCAGGTGGATTCTTTACCAACTGAGATATCAGGGAAGCCCTAATAAAGTTCAAGGAACCTCAAAAATGCAGATTCTTCTAGATCATTCATCTTATTGGGGGCAGAAGAACAGTGTGAAACCTGAACTGACCATACCTGTCTGATCTCCAGTGCTCCTTCCATCCAGTGCTCTCCTGCCTCTGTGGTCAGAAGTGGTTGTGGCCGGAGGAAGAGGAGACCCAGCAAAAGGCCAGGTGGTCAGTCCTCGATGTTTTGACCCACTGGATAGGGGTCCCCCAGTTAGAGGGTGACCCTAACCACAATGGCTGTCCTTCCCCACCCAGCCCCATGTGCTGGATGCAGTCCAGGCCCCAGCCAGCACGGAGAAGGCACCCAGGAGCAGAGGGGTCAGATCTGGTGTTTTCCACCTCAGCAGCCTCAGGGGCCATCCTGGGGTCAGGAGTGTTGCCTCCAAGCACCTGCTTCTCCATCCTGGAGCTGGAGGCCTTCCAGAGCCCATGGGCTCCTGGGAATTTCCCGTCACCACACTCTGCACCTACCATTGGGAAGCCCCCACTTTCTGTTCTTCCAAGTGGGTTTGGCAAATCCCATTGACCTTCCTTGGGAAAACTTGTGGTCCGTATGAATCCAAACCCCTGGTGTCTGCTTTGTAAGGTTTCCAATACCTTTTGATCTGTTTCTGATACCTGCACAGGTGCCCCCAGAAGGAGGCCTTTGTCTGTTGGTGTTATGTAGGTATGTCCATGTGAGATGGGGGCTCCAGGGTGATGGGTGATAAGCCAAATACCTTGCCTAGAATTAGTGACTTTTACAACAATCTGCAATTTTGATCAGAACAGAGTCACCACTGCAGTGATTCCAGGGATAGATTCCACGACATGGACCAATTTGTCTTTTGATAAAGGTGGCATTTCAAATAAGTAAAGAACACTGAACACAAGATTTTGGACTTGGATTGGCTAGCCATAGGGAAAAGAGATCAGTTCTGGGTGTTCATTGGAAGACTGATGCTGAAGCTGAAACTCCAATATTTTGGCCACCTGATGCGAAGAGTTGACTCATTGGAAAAGACCCTGATGCTGGGAGGGATTGGGGGCAGGAGGAGAAGGGGACGACAGAGGATGAAATGGCTGGATGGCATCACCGACTCGAGGGACATGAGTTTGAGTAAACTCCGGGAGTTGGTGATGGACAGGGAGGCCTGGCATGCTGAGATTCATGGGGTTGCAAAGAGTCGGACACGACTGAACGACTGGACTGAACTGAACGACTAACATCCCTTTCCATGTTAAACCTCCAATAGATTCCAGCTGGTTGGATGACATGGAAGAAAAGAAGACTGAAAATTGCAGGAGGAGATCTAAGAAGATGTCTTTGTATTCATGACAAGAGGATGTTAGGAAAGAGACAGAAGCAACAACATGTCTAAGAGACTTAAAACCACAGAGAGTTATTTTGTCCTCAGGCTCTACATGCAGCGTAGGTCAGAAGGTGTCTTGCTCCACCCAGACACTCAGGGACTCAGGCTGACTGGGACCCTCCCATCTGGGATAATACAGCTAGTCAGACACACTGGAGAGTCACACGCTGGCGCTTCTATATTTTGGCCCAGAAGTGCCATGTGTCACACTTGCTCAAAGCCTATTGGTCAGAACCAATCATATGACCCTGCACTGGTGTGGGGCAGTATGGGAAGCAGGTTGAACGTTTATGAATGCTACTGTTCCTGCCACAAACTCTATCCTAGTACATGAAAACATCAGATGAAATGGATGATTTTGATGGATGTATAAATTAGCAGAATTGATCCAAGAAGTAAGAAGTTCAAAGAGATGCATAGGAAGAAATGGAAGAAAGATTCTAAGAGTTACCTTCAAGAACTGAGGCCCATCCCAGGTGGTTTAGTGGGAGGATAGTGATTGTTTCTTGGGGGGTCAGATGCTCCCAGAATCCAATGGGGACTGTGCATCCTGTGTGGAGTCAACAGAAGGAAGCCAGGAAGCAAGGGGCAGGAAGTGCCACTGCAGGGCATTAGGGGAAGGCATGGGTCCCTGCTTCCCCCTCCAGTTATTCCCAGTCCAGTGGGGGTGCACTCAGGACCTTGCCACTTCTGTAAATGGGAGCTGATTACCTGGCATTATCCTGTTCTGGTTAATTTCAGGTGTTAACTCAACTGGACCACAGTGTCCAGATATTTGGTTAAGCATTGCTGTTGTTGTTCAGTCACTAAGTTGTGTCCAACTCCTTGTAACCCTATGGGCTGCAGCATGCCAGGCTTCCCTGTCCTTCATGGCCAAGTGCACTATTGAGCTTTGGCCTGGGACGGTGCAGCCTATGGGCTGCAGCGTGCTGCTGCTCCTGTGCCCCCTAGCTCTTGCTCTGTATACTGCCTGCTCAAGACACCCACCCAGGCCTCTGTTGTTGTTCAGTTGCTCAGTCATGTTTGACTTTGTGACCCTATGGACTGCAGCATCCCAGGCTTCCCTGTCCATCACCGTTTCCTGGAGTTTGCTCAAACTCAGGTCCACTGAGTCAATTGTGCAATCCAACCATCTCATCCTCTGTCGCCCCCTTCTCCTCCTGCCTTCAATCTTTCCCAGCATTGTGGTCTTTTCCAACGAGTCAGCTCTTTGCATCAGGTGGCCAAAGTATTGGAGCTTTGGTCAAGTATGATTCTATTTTTTTTTGGCCATGCCACGCAGCATGCTGGAGCTTAATTCCCCAACCAGGTGGAAGTTCATAGTCCTAACCACTGGACTGCCAGGGAATTTCTGTTAAATATTATTCTCAATGTCTCCATGAAGGTACTTTGGGATGCGATTAGCCATTAAATCTGTGAACTTAGCATGGATGGGCCTCACCCAATCACCCGAAGCCACGGTGAGAACAAAGACTGACCTCTCCTGAGCAAGAAGGAATTCTGCCAGCAGCTGGCCTCTGGGACCGGGACTGGAGCTCTTCCCTGGGTCTCCAGCTGCCAGCCCACCCCGCAGGATTTAGATGTGCACCTTCCCAACTGTGTGAGCCAATTCCTCTGAATAAATCTCTCTGTATACATACATACACATCCTGTTGGTTCTGTCTCTCTGGAGAATACTGACCAGTGTACCTCCCAAGAGACCATGGACAACCGGGCAGAGATGATTCCTCACTGGGAAAGTAGGGTGCTGTTACAGGTCGGGAGAGTGTGCTCCTCACTCAAGGAAGGTCTAAAGAGAGCCGAGAGACAGACAGATGTCTGCGGAACATTAGATATGGGAACCCTGTCGGGGGCCTGGACAGCTTGCAGTTTATTGTATGAAGCTACTGGAATCACAGAAAGTATGAGATGCTATTTATAAATATTTATAAGTGTGTATTTGTTGTTGTTCAGCTGGTAAGTTGTATCCAACTGTTTACGACCCCATGGACTGCAGCATGCTAGGATTCTCTGTCCTTCACCATCTCCTGGGAAACTTGGGAGCTGTTACAGGCAGGGAGAGTGTGCTTGGCATACTCTGGAGTGTGCTCAAACTCATATCCACTGAGCCAATGATTGCATCCAACCATCTCATCCTCTGTTGCTCCCTTCTCCTCTCGCCCTCAATCTTTTCCAGCATCAGGGTCTTTTCCAATGAGTCGCATCTTCTCAGCAGGTGGCCAAAGTATTACAGCTTCAGCGTCAGCATCAGTCCTTCCAATGAATATTCAGAGTTGATTTCCTTTAGGTTTGACTTGATGTCCTGGCTATTTTTTAAAAATATATACTATAAATCTGTAGATATACATATGCATATATATTTAGAAACTATTTATTTATTTGGCTGCATTGGGTCTTAGTTGCGGCACATGGGATCTTTGTTGTGGTGCACGGACTCTCTATTTGAGGTCTGTCAGTTCAGTAGTTGCAGCATGTAGGCTTAGTTGCCCCCAGGCATGTGGGATATTAATTCCCCCACCAGCGATCAAAACTGTGTACCCTGCATTGCAAGGTGGATTCTTAACCACCAAATCACAAGGGGAGTCCCTGTAAATGTCTATATTTAAAATTAGGAGTCTTTCTGTCAATCTTCAGACATGGACAAGATTCAAAAGTCTTTAGCTATGAGGCACCCTCTTGTCAAGCGCTTTCATCTCAGCACCACGGAAGCTTCATCTTCACGCGGGGATGATGGTCTTGAGGCTGTCACCGCTGTGCATGGCCGGGCAGGAGCAGAGCGCACGTGGATTCTTCCGAGGTAGAAAAGGACAAGATGTTCCCTTGGAGGAGACGGGAGGGCTCCAGGTGCTGGTGAATCCAGAGCCATTTGGCTGCCCATGGGAGCAAGCTCTATAGAGGAAAGTTTTGAAAGATAAGAGATTCATTTCAGACCCTTACAGGTGCCCAGGGACATCTGCCTGTTTCACTAGAGCACAGGAGAGAAAACTGTCCCTGGACAGCTCGCCCCTGGCAGCTGAGCAAACTGAGACCGCCCAGCTGGCACTGGTCCACTCTTTTAATCAAAGGGGCTGGGCTCGCTGGAGTAGTAAATGGCAACCCGCTCCAGTATTCTTGCCTGGAGAATCCCAAGGACAGAGGAGCCTGGCGGCTTACAGCCCATGGGGTCACCTGGAGGCCTACAGTCCATGGGGTCATGACACCACTGAGCACGCACAAGCACCCTGAACCGGGGAATCACTGTCACTTCCCATCTCCCTACTTTCAGGACACCATAACCTCTGTACTGTGTTCTGAAGACAGGTGGAAGCTAGGATCAGTGCACCCAAAACAAGTCTGCGTTCAGCTTGGATGACTGAAAAGGAGGAATGCAGAGAAGGGAAGGGAAGGTGGACCATGATGATGAACTCCGAATTCGTGTGCAAATTCCACCATCAGCTAGTGAACTACGAGTCAGAGACTCCTAGCACGCTCCAAATAGAAGCTGGGTAAACACTGCCACTTTTTGTTTGCCTTGAGAGTTAGCTGTCTGCAAGCATGTTAGGAAACCGTGGCAAAGAGCATTCCAAACGCATGTGGTGCCTTTGAATTTATTTATTTGTCTCAATTTATTCCAGCCATGTTTGAGCATAGCGTGATTATGCATCTCACACTGACTGAAGATCACGGCCTGTGTGGTGGGCAGGGTAGGAGGAAGGGAAAGAGTTTCCTAGCTTCATCTAATTTAAAGCACCTTTGGCTGAGTGGTGCAGTGAAGAGGATATGGCTAAAACAAATAAAAGTCAGACAGGATCAAAGTGCAGGCACAAATCTATTCCTTCTGGAAGCAGCTCCTCTCTCCCCTGGCCCCCTCTCTCCCCCTGGCCCTCTCTCTCATGTCCCTCTCTTCTCTCTCCCTGGCCCTGTTCTTTTTTTTTCCCCCTTATTCGAGTTGCAGTGATTCTTTTGTGGCAGAGTTCCAGAACGACCTCCTCTCCTCCAAGCGTGACCGCGGTTTCATCTCTGATTGATGGGCGAAACCACCGGCACCTCGGGCTTGAAGGAGGTCTGAGAGCCACCTGATTGCGCGGTGACACGTGAGGTAGGGCAGTCATCAGCGCTCCTTCTGAGCAGTTCAGAGACAGC